GGGGAAAAGGCCAGCGTGGGGGGTGCCGGCGGGCGTCTTTGTAGGGGCCCGAAGGCAGGGCGCGAGGGGCGTAGGGGTGCGGGGCGGCCAAGCTGGGAGCCCGAGTGGATGAGTGCCCCCCGGCCCAGGTAGGGCTGATGGAGGAGGGGGAAGGGACCCAAACTCTCCGGGAGCGGGGGTGGGGGAGGGGAGAGGATGGGGGGTGCTTCCCTCTCTGCGTCCCAAACAAAGTGTCACAAAGAGCTCGGCCGGCGGCAGCAGCGGAGGCGGCTGCAACTCAGCTTTTGTTCTCCCGGCCCGGGTAGCTGAGCCCTGGCCTCCCAATCTCCTAACCCTGCCCCCCATCATCTTCCTGGTTTATCTTCCCCGGGAGAGGTTTGGGGTGCTGCTGGAAGAACCTCTTGTTCAGGATCAAAGGTCTTGTCCTACTTGCCAGCTTACTTCTGGGAGGGAGATTTTCCCAGAGGCTCTCCTACCCAACTCTCTACCCCCTATTCGGAGAACTGAGGCCCATATGGTGCTAAGACTCTGACCTTTCTAGGGTCAGCTCCAGCTAAGGGAGCTTAGGGCTGGCTATATACCCCCTCCCCCAAATCCAGGTCCTCTAGAACTTTCAGAAGAGGGGTCAAGTTGGGACATACCTCTGGGATAGATTCACCATGGTTGGGTTGCAGTAGGTGAGCAGGTGAACCTTCCTTTCACATGCTGTACATTTGGAGTCCATGACGAGGTCTGTGACCCCAACTCTGGACAGTCAGAATGAAGGGGAGGAAGCTTTACCAAGAACTCAATCTAAAAAGTGGGCAAGCTGTGCAGTGGGGCCAGTTTGGGGGAGCCACCTAAGCAGTGAGGTTCAGAGGGCCGTGGAGAAAAGATCATAAAAGTGAGCTACTGGCATGTCTGTGTGATAAAGGTGGTCTTGACTGTAGACCACCTAAGGAACTCCCTTTCCTTTTAACCCCATCTAATGCAACGTTAATCACAGTATTAGCGGACTTGGAAGGTGTAAGGATTCTCAAAGGGGAAAACATCAAATATTAGAGAAAACCAGAGACAGGCCTAGTCATAACTGTACTTCAGAAGTCCTGAGTCCTTGCCCCGTACACTTTGACACTAAAAACTTCTGAACCACAAGCCTTGAGGGGCAGTCTTTGTGATCCTCCAGGCAGCAGATGTTTCTATATACCTGACCCTGTTGTTTCTAAGAGTCTTCTCACCAACCCTTCCAACCGTCCCTACTCAGTAAGGTTTAATGGTCCACACCCCCTTTCCCACCAGCTCTCCTAGCACATAAAAGGAATTGGCCTGTTGTTTTGGAAAGATTTCAGATCCCTATCCTTGGCCTTGCATCCCTATAGAACCCAAATAAGGGCAAGATAACCCTTGATTCCCAGTGGGGGTGGAAAGTAGGTCATTACTACTGTCTGGCTAAGTCTCGTGGATGGTGTTTAGGGCCTGACTACAGAAAACTGTGATTATTGCCCACAGGCAGTATGTGCCTGACCTGGGTTCCAGGTCAGTTCGTAAAATCTGGGGTTCTGGCAGTGCTTTCTCCTATTGCGAAAAACTCATGGGATAAGGTGCTTGGGACCTGGTTTGGTGTGATGATTCAGGAGATCTTGACTGGGCCTAGGGGGTCTATCAGTGTGTTTTGTTGATTTGAGACCACCCTCTGGGGAAACTTTCCCTGCCCAGGAATTCAGCTGCAATTTGGGCCTTCTTGTATATCACTGTATTTCCATCCTGGAAACTGCTATGTGCAAAGCAGGTTTTTTGTTTTTGTTTTGTTTTGGGGGCGGAAGCTTTGCCCAATTCCTTCTTGCTTGCCTCGGATATGAGGTCAGCCTCCCATGAGGTATTTTGTTTACTATCCTATAAGTAGTTTTAGGGGCCCTAGAATCTTCTCAGAATCTGAGTATGTGCCCATAGGTTAGTCAGCTATGACCATGCAGTATTCCCAGCCTCCCCCCTCCTCCCCCACCATCTGCTTCCTCTGAATATACCAGATTGGCTGTACACCAGGATGTTCCGGGAATCCCCAGGAGAGCAACAGAATGTGATGGACCCAAATACGATGCCTCAGTAACTCATTCCAGGATGTACAAACTGTAACTGTCAGGACACTTCTTATAGCTAATTAAAATTCTTCTAGTTACATCTATTTTCTATTACGTCTATTTTCAGTGACATCCAAAAGGCCAAAATAATCCCTCTGGTACCACTGTTTTTTTCCCCCCTCTGTGGTTCCCAGATAGGAATTTAAAAAAAATCCTCCAGCTTTTCTCAGTGCCTTATAGTGCTAAAATGGCAAGCGTGGCCCCTCTAGCATTTCATAGCTCTATCAGTGGTACTAAGGTGGCCAAAGTGGCTCCTCTGGTAGCCCACTGCACTCTCCATGGTACTGAAGGAATGACCATTTGTTTTAACATCTCTCTGGGGTCCAGAAGAGTCCTATGACTCAGAACCACAAAACTTTTGAACTGGAAGGGACCGTCAGTATAAATTAGTCCAACCCCTTTATTTTATGGATGAGTAAACTGGGAGGTTAAGTGATTTACTGAAGGTTGCAGGTCTATTACTGGTCTAACTGGGCCCACAGTAGTCTTGCACTCCTCAGTCCTACTCTAGTTCACCTTTCTGATCCTACTCAGTGAGGCCGGCTAGGCTCTTGGTCCCAGGAAAGGGATTTATTTGGAGGATCCATAAAATGAGGGTGGATGCCTTAATTTGGAGCTACAGAAATACAGATTAAAAGGGGTGGTGGAGGTTGTTTAGTGACCCTTGGACAAAGACATTTTGTTAATCTCCTGTTAATAAAATTCCCATAAGCCAGATACCACATGTAACAGGTACGTGTCCCTTCATGGAGCCTTATTCTATCTACAAAATGTCAAAAATTAAAGAAGCCTTGGACCTTGAGAGCCTTTTCTCATTGCAAGGCTGACTCTTGGCTCAGTTTTCTTCTATTAAAGATCCTTAAGCAAAGTAATGCTGAGTCCTTTTCTTTCTCAGTAACCTATTTCAGTTTCAGAATGCCTATTGTAAGGAAGTTCTTTATATCTCAAATATTCCTTCTATCTCAGGCGAAAAAAACATAGGCCCACATTTGTCCAAATACAATTCTATATGTAAGCAAGAGGGGAGACTGGACGACTTCTGGTCATTCTCCTAGGCCTGTTTCCATGATTCTTAATTTTGGGGTTGCTTCTAAGTCCTAACGCTAACCTCCTCTGCAGCTTACAATCAGGAGATCCACCCCCCCCCCAGTCCTCTTCCTCTCAGTGCTCTTCTCTTTCCTCAGAACTGGAGCTCTGCACATCCCAGGCCCAGGGAATTTTAGCCTGGAGAATTTTAACCCTTTTCTGCTCAGAGCATGTGCTGAGCCCCTATCTGTGCAGATGGCCCAGCCCCGCCCCCCGTCCCTCACTCCAGCCTCTTGAGCTCAGAGCCAGTGTAATCCTCCTCTTGTGTGAGGGAGCCTCTCCCCTGCAGAGAGGAGGAAAGCCTGCTTCGGAACAGCCCTGGACAAAGGGGCTGAGATGCCCCATCAAACTGCAGGCTTCAAGGTTTGAAACACGGGGATGAATCCTATTCGGTATTTGCAGTTTTTAACCCCTTCCCCAGGCCAGCAGCGCCCCTTAACTTCCACTCCTCCCCCAACTCTCTCTCCATTCCCTCTCCTTCTGGCTCTCTCCCCCTTCATGCCCCTCCCCCTCTGTCTGTCTCCAGACTCTGCTGCTGGGAGGTGTTGCTCTCCCATGCATGAATGAGTCTCTGTAATGAATGGAAATGAATGGATCAGGAATCCAGGCGGAGGGAGGAAGAATAAGGGGGAAAGACAGAAAGACAGGGTAAAGGCAGAAGGAAGAACTGTGGAGTCTGGAAGATTGTTTGGCTGGCTGGTCAGTTAGGGGTCTGAGAGCAACTGGTCCCACATGGATAACTGGGGAGCTTGGCAAGCCCACCCTGTTTGCTCATCAAGCTGCACAGCCCAGCCTAAATGAGAAAGGGGCATACTGTGATGGTCTCCTCCACCACCAGAGGGTGGGGGCGTTGGGAATGGGGGGTGATGATGGTACTTGTTCTGGACAAGGCATTTAAAACGAGTAATTTAGGGGAAGAAATCTGGGTTAACGGGGGCAGTGTGAGCAAATCAAGGAATACTAGTTTTGAAGACAGCAGCTCCCTCCTGTCTCAGGATGTAAGGAAGGAGAAAGGCTAGGTTTTAGGGTACTGAGTCTGGTGTTGGGGGTGACTCCACTGCTGAAAATCAGGGCTCATCTTTTCCTCAAAATCTGTCTCTCTTGCTTTAGCTCTTCAGCACCTGTTGCCTTCACTAGCAGCTTTTCCTCCTCCTCTTCCCTGCACTCCCCAGAACCAAAGAATGTGAAGGGGGTCCATGGAGGTGAGTGAAGCTCTGGCCTGAATCTGCAAGTACCTGTATACTGCCTCCCCTCCCTACCTCTCTCTCTCTCTCTGGCCTTCCATTATTAGAAATTATTTCCATTGCCCCAGAGGCTCAATTCCCATTCGTCCCCCAACTTCCCCGAGGTTAGTGGGAAGGGCTCCCGGTGTTCCTGGTTCAGGCCCCAGCTCACCCTCCCTCGGGTTCCTCTGGCCCTCCATGTCCAGGCTTCCCCTACAGCCCTCCCTTCTCCACTCTTTGCTCTACTCACATCTTTCTCCCCAGGGCTCACGTCCCCGCGCCCCGGGCGGCCACCTAGCGCCGTCGCCACCGGCCTTCGACGGCGAACTGGATCTGCAGCGCTATTCCAACGGGCCAGGCGTGAGCGCCGGGTCTCCGGGAATGGGAGCAGTGGGCTGGTCTGAGAGTCGCGCAGGCGAACGGCGCTTCCCCTGTCCTGTATGTGGGAAGCGCTTCCGCTTCAACTCCATCCTGGCTTTGCACCTGCGGGCGCACCCAGGCGCCCAGGCCTTCCAGTGCCCGCACTGCGGCCACCGCGCGGCGCAGCGGGCCCTGCTGCGCTCGCACCTGCGCACGCACCAGCCCGAGCGCCCGCGTAGCCCTGCCGCGCGCCTGTTGCTGGAGTTGGAGGAGCGCGCCCTACTGCGGGAGGCCCGGCTGGGGAGACCCCGAAGCTCAGGGGGCCTGCCGGCCACTCCTGCCACTGAGGGCCTGGCGCGGCCCCAGGCTCCATCTTCGTCCGCCTTCCGTTGCCCCTTTTGCAAGGGCAAGTTTCGCACCGCGGCCGAGCGCGAACGCCACCTGCACATTCTGCACAGGCCCTGGAAGTGCGGCCTGTGCAGTTTCGGCTCCAGCCAGGAGGAGGAGCTGCTGCACCACAGCCTGACGGCCCACGGAGCTCCTGAGCGACCCCTGGCGACCACCTCGGCTGCGCCCCAGCCTCAGCCTCCACCCCAGCCTGAACCCAGACTCCCGTCCCTGACGCCCCCCTGACGCCTGACGCCCGAACGTGACGGCCAACCCCCCGCCCCCGCGCC